TTAAAAAATTTATCATCTTTTAGAAATATATGTATAAAAGTTCCCACAGGTAACAAGGACTTCCTGTGTATACTGTGTGTGTATAGGTATTAACACCATACACGATCAGCCTCTGGGAAAATCTTAGTCCCTCCCCTCACCAGAGAAAACTGTTCGGTTAAAAATATCAGCCTTTAAAACTGGTCGCTGAAGAGGCTACTAGTTCTAAAATGGTAGTGGCCCATACTGATTTTTAACAGCTGGTATTACAGGCACTTGTTTTGGTAATAAATTTTTCAACCCATAGTATGATGATAACACAAGGTATCCAAATCCATATTACATTGAGTACCCCCCCCCCCCTTCCCCAAAATTGAACTTATTTACACTTTCAGAGGAAATGCACTGGCAAACTGTTTATTACCATTGTCCTCTACGATAATTTATCTACACAACTATCTATGACATGTTTGTCTTATTTATTAATTTTCTTTTATTTCCGTAAACAGTGTCAAAACTCTGCTCGCCGAGTGCAAAAGTCGACTTTCTTGTCTAGTCTAACTTTCAAGATAAATTTGTTGTAAAGTAAATAAAACTAATCTTTTAGTATATAATATAATTAAAACTAATTTGATATTGTATATTTAACAAGTAATCAAAACTAATTATATAAAAAAATATATATATATATTGTATACGCAGCTAGGTTTAGGACTCCCATACTTACATCAGCCTATATGCAGAGCTTCTGGAAATCGATTATGACGTCACAATGAAACTGAACAAATAAATCCTAAATACTAATGTTTTCTTTTTCATACACACTCAAATACAGTCTTTTCTCATAACATGATAAATATTGTAAACATAAATTGATGTGTAACTTATCATGTCATAATAACACTATTTGAATGTAGAATTTAAGCCATCTTGACCTTCCTGCACTGACTAAGATGACGTCACACCCTAGTTTGACAGACAGTTTCTCTGTACTTGAGGCGTAGATCAAGCTATTATTGTAGCTTGTAAATATCAAATTAAAATAAGTGTGATCTGACCAAAACTAAGTCATATTTTTGAATGTATTAATCAATATTTTATAGTCTAATTAGGCCTAAAAAAAATTGTTTGCTTCCTGTAACATTCCCAAAAAATCAAGGGTCGGTAGGTCGGGATTTTTTTTTTTTTTTTTTTTTTTTGCTTATGGATAAAAGGGTCAAACATCCCCAGACTGAATTAACCAGGTGTTATATTTAAAGTGGACACCCAAAATGGCTGCTTAGCGGCAGAGAACGAAATTCTAAAAGTTGTGGGTGGAAATTGTTGTTACAATAATGATTACTCTTTATATTCAAGGTAAATGTTGACTAGGATGACATATTTTATATCTCAAATAAAGCTACAATTAATATTTTTTGAATAAATGGAATCAGCTGATCGATCGAACCAAAGAGCAAATGCAGATTTGGCAGGAAAAAAAATCCGCCGGGGGATAATTTGAATGGGTCGGTCGGGTTACAGGAAACAAACTTATTTTTTTTTTTAGGCCTTAAATTGAAAATGTGTAGACCTCATATAAAGCCACAGTAAGGCACATTTATACATTAACTATCTAGAATAACAGGCACAGCCCCTCGAAAATCTCAAAAGTTCAACGATATCTGCTTCACTATAATTTATGAATTTTTATACGCCCGTCTTTAGACGGAACGTATTATGTTATGGCGTTCATGTCCGTCTGTCTGTCTGTCTGTTAGCCTTTCTCGTGTCCGGCTCATAACTTTAATACTATTAGGCCTAGGATTATCAAACTTTGTCAGCTGATACTTCTTTGGTAGAAGGTGTGTCACGCACTAAAAGTAGGTCGTTCTGACCTTTAATTAAGATGCTATGGCCAAATATGGAAAAATCCTGTCCGGCTCATAACTAGAAAACTATTAGACTTATAATCATCAAACTTGGCCAGTTTATGCATCTTAGGTAGAAGGTGTGTCGCGACCTATTTCAAGGTCACTGTGACCTTTAATTTAAGTGAAATTTAAAAAAAAAAAAACTGTCTTTTTACTATTAAATTACACAATCCCAAAAAATGTAGAAGTGTTGCAGTATCCTTATTAAAAAGATGTTAAAATCAAGAAATACTTATTTTTTTCATTATATACTTTACAGCAATCTATAACAAATATAATGTTACAAGAGAAATTCCACCTCTCCCATGGGTGTAATTATCAAGCACTGGTCAAGGAGAATGTTGATAACAGAAAATTGCATGTCAAATTAGCGAGAAATTAGTTTAGTGTGAGGAGCTAACTGGTAGAGCATCTCTGATCAAGCAGGTGTTATCTATATCTCTTGGGAATTGGGCAGAGGAATCAGCCATGTTGGATTAAATAGTTTTTTGTGGGCTAGCCTAACTTTTAAAATGAATTTGGTGAAAAGTAATTAAAACTAATTTGATACAATAATTGTATAATAAACTAATTTGATATTGTATAATAAATTAATAGATAGTCCCTACAAATCTAAGAGTCAAGCAGAAACCTTATTAAAAATGTTGCATCAAGATTACAATTTTTTTTTCTTTTTATAAATCTTTGTAACAAATTGAAAAAAAAAAAATCTTTGTTTTCAAATTTAATTTCAGAATGACATAAATATTCATTTTAATTGCACTACAAAGCAGATAGCACAGATCCATTCATCCCTTGGGAGTAATGAGTGGACATGCATCCAGTTAAAGATTAATTAATGAGTTCAGTGTAGGAAGGCTAGCTGTTCTCAATCATTTCTGTTAGAGCATCTCTGATCAAGCAGTTCTTATCTGTATCCTTTGGGAATTAGACAGAAGAACTGCTGGTCAGTTTATAGCATATGTCATTTGATGGCCAGTCTTTTATTTTAAAATTAAATTGGTATAGATTAAGTTGTTAAGACTAAATTGATTTTGTTTAATATGATATTTTTATTTAATTTTTTGAAAATATCAACTAGTAAATTTCAGAGCATCATGTCTCACAAATATGAAAGATGTGTGTGTGTGTCACTGTGTGGGGGGGGGGGGGGTGTGGGGGGGGGGGTGCAGATGGGCATTTGTCAAGCTCTAACACTACCAGTTGAGGATCTATAATGTAATATTTGTTATAATGCCTACACCACAGGAAATGTATAAACAAAAATTGTAAGAAATGGAAAAATCTTGGAAATCCTTGTATCAAGGTTGACTTTATTTTCTTGCACTCTAAACTGTTCGTGATAATTGAACAATATTTGACGGGTGTATCATGCTGGGGCACTTTATTATACAAAGGTAGTAACATCCCTACTACTTTGAAAAGTGCCAGGAGCTGGTTGTGCGCTGTTGCTTTTTTCCGTATTTTACCATTATTTCAATGCATATTATGTCAATGTAGGAAGTTTATCAAAAATTTTACATAAATTAATTCTCAGGCATGGGGAAGTTGCTCCCAGCACTTTTCAGGTTAAGGAATTTGTCTTAAAGAAAACAAAATTAATTTCATAGTGAAAAGATATCCGTATATCGTTGTACTTTATGATCTTTGTAGCCATACATATTTTTTGTAATTTTAAACATGTCACTTGACAAACAGCTGATGTAAGTAAAGTTGCTTTGGCCGAACTCGGCAAAGACCTCATATATATGAGGGTTGTCCCAGAAAACACAAACTTTTTGTATATTTCAGAAACTATTTGACCAGAACTAATAATTTTTTGCAAGTTGTTGGAAAATGATATTTTCAGTATTATGACAAAATATTTTAGGCTTGTGATGTCATTAATATGTAAAAACGGCATTTAAAGGGTGTTAAATATCGGTGGTCTGCACACTGCAGTTTATTGACTTTTAAAAGTAGCATTGTCAGTGAATTTTTCTTTATTACCAGGTTATACGGAAATATAATGTCACAAACTTTACCTCCATAAATACTCTTTGATCTAGCTGATATACTTGTGTATGAAAATTCATTAATTTGATATCATTAATGACAAATATATGACGTTATATGCCAGAACACTTTTAATTAGATATTGTTAAAAATGGTGACGTTTAGTGATAATTTGGAGCACAAATTATTAAGCAGCACTGTCTTTAAAACGGGATAGGACTCTTGCCCATACGATGAAAGAGATATTAGTGCTGGAAGAGACATTTTGTAGACCAAAAGAAATGAAGACAAACTGAAAGTCCTGAGCTTTACGTCATAAGCCTAAGCCAAGGCCATCGTTAAACAATGTGAACTGTTAGGTTTATTATCGGAATTGAGAAATTGTCTATTGAAAGAATTAATTCCACAATCTTTTAGCAACACACGCCATATTTGAGATGCATTACTTGGTAAATAAAATAAAATTAAATACTGTGCCGAATTTATGCTTAAATAAACTAATTTTATCAGAAGCACATTTCCAGAAAAAATTCACAAAAATGTTGATCATGATCTATGCCTATTTTTAACTTTACAGTATTAGTGAAACAAAAGATATTGAAAATGTTCACGTATTTCTGGGACAACCCTCCTACATATGCAAATAGTAGAATTCCCATTAATCAAAACTCATGCTGTAAAAAAAAAATCAACACTATATTTATTTTCTCGGAATATTTTTAGGCGTATTATTTCCTGTGGGCATCCTTAACCTTGCTGCGTTATATTTTTTATTTGGATTTTTATATCTTGACAACAAATTGCAGAGTGTCATGTCTCACTAGGATGACAATTTTTTAGAGTAAAGAATAACATAATTTTCTTGCACTCTAAAATGTGTACGATAATTGAACAATATCATACAGTGGCAGGGATTTTTATTACTCTTGCAAATTGTATGAAACAAAAATTATTTTTGGAAAAATACATTGTGATTCATATATTGTGACTACTATATTGTGATTGTTGCATAAAACCTGTATTGTTCCTGCAGTCCTAATATTTCATCATATATGTTATTATGTTTATATGTAACTTTAAACTTTTTATTTATGGTTTTCATTATCATTTTACAAGCATTGATGCATCTGACAGCTTCCAAAGGCTTGGAAAGTAGGTTAATGATGCAGCTATAGACAACCCCATCTTATGCATGTTATGAGAAGTTAAAAGTGTTTAACAACTACTCCAGGCTTTTTCTTTGCAAGAAGGGATATTGATAGAGGGAAGGAGATCAGATATGACTATGGTGATCCCATGCCCAATGGACAATCTTCCTTGGAGTTCATCACTCATCAGGTAAATATTTAGAATAATGGATTTTCAAATTTGATACGCTGCATCCTCTTTGTAGTGCATTTTTTTTTCAATGTTCTTGAGAGGTCAAGAGATGAAAAATGTTTTACCCAACAGTGTTCCAAGTCACACTTACTTTCAGGTCACTAAATGAGGACCTAAAAAAAATTTTGGCCACCATTTCAGAATATTTCACTTGCCATAATGAAAATATTTTGTGAATAACAATAGTAAAACAAGGAACTAACACCCTGTATGTTTTATGTCTTTACTAAATCAAAGATGTAAGGTATTACTGTGACTATAAACAATTTGCTAGGTTTAAGGAAATATTTTTATTAGTACAACCACCCTTATGGTTGTACAGTACACAGAGGAACACAAGAAGACTGATCCTAGAATTAAAATTTATTCAAAAGAAAATACCAAGTTTGACACTTATTGAGACAGGACTTTGCCAGCTGTTTGTCATGTTTACTTATTATTACATAGTACGTACCTAACCCATTAAACAGTCATTATTAATGCTGCCAAAACACTTAATTAGTTGTAATATGCAAGCAATTGACCAAATGTTTCAATAACAAGGTCAGGTTCTAAAAAGTTTATGATGTTTGGATGCCATTCTGTTAGGGACGTATAGTATAGGTCCGTGGTTCCATCAAACTGTATAAGTAGTCACTATTAAAGCATGCTGTCATAACATTACGACTTGATGATTAATGATTTTTTTTGCGGACAAACAGACAGATGGATGCACAGGGCAAAAACTATATACCCCCGAATCTACGATTACAAGGGCACTAAAATTGATGTTCAGCAGATGTAAGTTTCTGAAGTTTACATCACGTACATTGAAATATATTAATTTGTGAACTTTTTTTCCAAGAATAGGAAAATAGCAATTGGTGAAAATGATGAATTAATTAAATTGATGGGGAAAAAACAACATCTTTTTGTGATCCATATTTTAGATAAGACCAAAAAAAATAGTCTTGTTTCCTGCTACCAGCCTGAAAAAAAAAATAGGGTAGGTAGGTAGGAAAATTATTTTATTGTATATTTTCATTTTATTTTATTTTTTTCGACAACATTTTTTGGATATGAACTAATAAAAGATAAAATTAAACATGTCACAGGTCAATATTGTCTTTTAAAATCAAATTTCATGTCTTTTGACTAAACTCAAGTGGTATTCTATGAAAGTCCACATTTAAAACAAGAATTTCATGAAATGCTTGTTTTGTGTTAACACAGAAAACGATTATGGTGACAGAACGATGAAATTCCGGAAATTCGAGATTTTTTTCTTCCAAAATTTAAAAAAAACAAGACTATTATTTTTTTTTGGCCTAAATAAAGTAAATTATTGAAAATAATACCTCTAAGACAAGGTTAGAGTGATTATTATTATTGGATTACAAGATCACCTTGATATGAAATATATGGAGATAACGAACAGTATTCAAGCTCAAAAGTCCATTATACAATACAAAATAGGAGCAGAGCAAACACGGACCTCAAGCTCAAAAGTCCATTATACAATACAAAATAGGAGCAGAGCAAACACGGACCTCCAAACATCAGAGGTGGGATCAGGTGCCATGGAGGAGTGAGCATCCCCTGCCGACCGGTCACACCCGCCGTGTGCTCCTTGTCATGATTGGGAAATAACGGAAAAATCCGTCGACAATTCAGTGTGTAAATAATGGTCTAACAATTAGTATGAAAAACGTCAGTCAGCATTTGACTCAATGATAAATTGTATTTGCTGACAAGGTCATTGTATCGACCATAGAACTTACAAAATGATGACTTTAAATGAGACAGCTGATATTTGATTATATGTACAGGATCACCTCTTTGCCTCATGCTATAATAAATATATTTACCTAGGTTACACATATCCTTAAAGTTCTTAGTATTGAACAATTGCAGTAATTTATACGTATGGATGTTTTTTTTAAAAAGAAATAATTTGCATTGATAATCTCGATAAACAGGACATACTAGTAGAATGTGATATTCATCCTCGACACAAGTATGACACAAAAAAACATTTCCAGTGGGATCTGTTTGCTTTATTATATCCAGTTTCAATAGCTAAAAGGTGTGAAGATAATCTTAACTTTGATATACATTTTTGAAACTTAGTCAGAATTGAATTTCTTAAATAATACGGTAGGTAAAACCCATCAAGTAGATATTTATAGGAAGAACATTTCTGCGAACTTTGAAGTTTAGTATATTTCTTGTTTAGCCTGATCCAAGATCCTTTTATAAATTGTCATAATGGTCCTTACAATTAGGGTCTACCTAATAGGACTTCTCAGTTGATTGTACAATTTACACCTGGGTGACCATTGCCCTTGCTGTTTAGTGTTATATAAAAAAACAATTAGTTTATTTGATATTTTTTATTAATTTATTTTATGTTAAGAACATTTATTTAATAGCATGTTAAATTTCTATTCAAAATGCATCGAAATAGCATACATTAAAGGTATCTGAATGTAGTTGTAGGCATAAATATAATCACAATTAATTTTGTTTTGCACATATATTATAGGAAGCATTTTGGAGGCAAACCCTGTTGCAGCATTTCTACATGTTCCACAGATTGTACAGACTAGTCAGGACCTTGTAAATTCTTATGTTCAACAGCTTAGGCAATTTAGTACAGGTATGTGTAACTCTTCTGAAATATAGGAGGAAATTTCAATACAAGACTTGTAGCATAACTTATATTACATTGTCAGTTCTTCTTTGCATGTTCCTTAGAGTGGATTATTGAGGCAGACCCTGATGGAAAACTTGCACATGTTCCACAAACCAGTGAAGACCATTTTGCAGAATATAAACTTTTTCCGCAGATAAGCCAAGACCCTAATGGTGTTCATGTGTGTGTGGTTAATTATTTGCTCTGAAGCTGATATGTGGACTGAATATAAAACTGTCTTTTTCTACAGTTAAGTCCATCTTAATCTGAAAATACTACCGGTACATTTTGAATTATGCTTTATTATGCAGAAAAAAAAATAATTAGTTTCAAATATGAAAAGTCTGTTGATACACTGCTTTGCAATTCCAAAAGTGATAATGTGATAAGTTTTGATGTGAATATGTGACATGTGCCATTATCAATTTTCATAAATAAAATCAAATACAAAGGCAATTCCAATTTAATGTTTTGCTTGTCGGACCCGCACGCTCTTATTTGAACAAAGCTATACAAATAATATTAATTTAAATCTCCTGCACCTGGGAAATTCTGTGCCAGTTTCTGTTTTATTTCCGCTCTATTTTTGATAATTTAAATCTGTTTACTCTACAAATCAGAAAAAAGTAGAAAAAATATAATTGTCACTCAATTTTTTTCATGTTATGCCTAAAAATTTTGCGTACAAAAAAGTAATAATATTATTATTTAATCTCTTGCCCGCTCTTACTTTTTTCACCAGATGTGCGACGAACAAGAAATTAAATTCGCGTGGTGAAATTATGTTTTATTAAAACTCATTTAAAGCTAACTGTCTTATTTTTTGGATTCATGATGTGATCAATCGAGTGGCTTGCGTGATAATTTGCATAAACGCCGAAGGCGTTTATGCATAAAATTATCACGCAAGCCAATCGATTGATCATCGTCATGAATCCAAAAAACCTGATAGTTATTCCTTATATTTACATGCTCCTGATTCTGCAAATTCCCATGCTAATAGCCCCGCTTCTGTCTCTATTTGTCCCGCCCCGCACGTGATTTTTTTTTTAACTGCGCCTATCGATGAACTAGTAGATTTATGTAGAAATAAAGTATTTTTACAATTTGTAATTTTATCTCGGACAAAGACATTGGAAATGTAAATATTTATGCAATAAATGATAAATAAAGACTAAACAGTCATGTTCACAAGCCAGAGGTGATAAAATATATATCTATTCTATAGGAAAAAAAGAATTATAAAGTGACATCAATTTTTCAAGTAATGTCTGTCTAGAACCTGTACATCAGATTTCGTATTTTGTGTGATTTTTTGAAGGATTTTTACACTAACAAAGTTAATAAAATCAAATCTTAGTTCTAAAATTTAATAATTTATTTTTAGATTGTCAAAATGCTTGTTAATTATAGTATCAAAGCTTGAATTGTATATCAATATTCTCCAGGAGGTAAATATTTCTATATATTGGTATATTGGTTGTCCCATAGTTTGTGTATAGTTTGTGGGTCATTGTCATATCGGTTCAACCTCTTGGATTGTGGGTCACGGTTATTTATTGTTCTAACATTTTACAATTTTTTTTCTGTAGTTTGTTTATGTATTTTTGTATCATTTGTGTATATGCATACATGTATATGTGGTTTGTGGATTACTGTCATATTTACATGCATGTGTCTGTTCATGGTGGATTGTGGGTCACTGTCATAGATTGTTTGTTCTTGCATTTTTCCTGTAGTTTGTTCATGACTTTTTTATGTCTTTGTGTATAGACATTTGTGTATATGCATACATATATATGAAAATGTTCATGGTTTGTTGATCACTGTCATGTAAATAAGTGTTTGTGTCTGTTCATGGGTTGTGGGTCACTGTCATATATTGTTTGTTCTTACATTTTTCCTGTAGTTTGTTCATGACTTTTTGTGTCTTTGAGTTAAGACATTTGTGTATAGGCATACATATATATAAAAATGTTCATAGTTTGTGGATCACTGTCATATATATACATGTATGTGTCTGTTCATGGATTGTGGGTCACTGTCATAGATTGTTTGTTCTATCATGGATTGTAGGTCATTGTCATAGGTTGTTTGTTCTTACATTTTTCCTGTAGTTTGTTCATGACTTTTTGTGTCTTTGAGTTAAGACATTTGTGTATAGGCATACATATATATATAAATGTTCATAGTTTGTGGATCACTGTCATATATATACATGTATGTGTCTGTTCATGGATTGTGGGTCACTGTCATAGATTGTTTGTTCTATCATGGATTGTAGGTCATTGTCATAGGTTGTTTGTTCTAATATTTTGCCTGTAGTTTGTTCATGACCTTTTTGTGTCTTTGGGTTAAGACAGTTGTGTACATGCATACATATATATGAAAATGTTCTTGCTTTGTTGATCACTGTCATATATAAGTGTTTGTGTCTGTTCATGGGTTGTGGGTCACTGTCATAGATTGTTTGTTCTAACATTTTTCCTGTAGTTTGTTCATGACTTTTTGTGTCCTTGAGTTAAGACATTTGTGTATATGCATACATATATATAAAAATGTTCATGGTTTGTTGTTCACTGTCATATATACATGTTTGTGTCTGTTCATGGGTTATGGGTCACTGTCATAGATTGTTTGTTGTAATATTTTACCCGTAGTTTGTTCATGACTTTTTTGTGTCATTGAGTTAAGACAGTTGTGTACATGCATACATATATATGAAAATGTTCATGGTTAGTGGATCACTATCATATATATATAAGTGTTTGTGTCTGTTCATGGATTGTGGGTCACTGTCATATATTGTTTGTTCCATCATTTTTCCTGTAGTTTGTTCATGACTTTTTGTGTCCCCGAGTAAAGACATTTGTGTATATGCATACATATATGAAAATGTTCATAGTTTGGGGATCACTGTCATATATATACATGTATGTGTCTGTTCATGGATTGTGGGTCACTGTCATAGATTGTTTGTTCTATCATGGATTGTAGGTCATTGTCATAGGTTGTCCTAATATTTTGCCTGTAGTTTGTTCATGACTTTTTTGTGTCTTTGAGTTAAGACAGTTGTGTACATGAATACATATATATGAAAATGTTCATGCTTTGTTGAACACTGTCATATATACATGTATGTGTCTGTTCATGGTTTGTGGGTCACTGTCATAGATTGTTTGTTCTAACATTTTTCCTTTATTTTGTTCATGACTTTTTGTGCCTTTGAGTAAAGACATTTGTGTATATGCGTACATATATATAAAAATGTTTATGGTTTGTTGATCACTGTCATATATAAGTGTTTGTGTCTGTTCATGGATTGTGGGTCACTGTCATATATTGTTTGTTCTATCATTTTTCCTGTAGTTTGTTCATGACTTTTTGTGTCCTCGAGTAAAGACATTTATGTATATGCATACATATATGAAAAGTTCATAGTTTGTGGATCACTGTCATATATATACATGTATGAGTCTGTTCATGGATTGTGGGTCACTGTCATAGATTGTTTGTTCTATCATGGATTGTAGGTCATTGTCGTAGGTTGTTTGTTCTCATATTTTGCCTGTAGTTTGTTCATGACTTTTTTTTGTGTCTTTGAGTTAAGACAGTTGTGTACATGAATACATATATATGAAAATGTTCATGGTTTGTTGATCACTGTCATATATAAGTGTTTGTGTCTGTTCATGGGTTGTGGGTCACTGTCATAGATTGTTTGTTCTAACATTTTTCCTGTAGTTTGTTCATGACTTTTTGTGCCTTTGAGTAAAGACATTTGTGTATATGCATACATATATATGAAAATGTTCATGCTTTGTTGAACACTGTCATATATACATGTATGTGTCTGTTCATGGATTGTGGGTCACTGTCATAGAATGTTTGTTCAAAACATTGTAGAAGTTTGGTTATGGCAGTTCAATTATGCATGTGTTTATGGTTTCTTGATCACTGAGTAATCATTACTTTCATAGAATGTGATTCACTGTTTTAAGATTTTTTGTTTTAGAATGTGTCTGATTATGGTTTTTGGATCAGTATCAGTTTAAATATATGATATAGATATTTGTCTGTTCGTGTTTGTGGGTCACTGTTGTAAAGTATTTGATTGTGAATACTATTATGTGTGTTTTCCTCACTTTGAGAAATAAATACATAACCTTACCTGATAAAAGTGTTACCTTATCAGTGTTATCTTACCCCTGCAAATGAAGAGCCTGGGCCTAAAATAATTTTTTTCAGCTGCCTAGTGACCCACTGAAAATGCACCTGACCCAAACTTTTTCCAGCTATTTTGTATTATTTTTTTTAAGCTTCAAGCTTTCAGGATAGTGAAACTGCATGTTTCATTTTCGATTTTTGGTATTATCAATCAGCGACTTATAACAAGAGGAGCTTATGTTAAGTAAGCCTATTTTTGTTTGTTAAAACATATTTGAAAACTACATTTTTTTAGAAAAATAAAAAAAAATACCGCCCATTCTAAAAATTTAGGTTGACAACTGCAAACCAAGAATTTTTTAAGCTTGGCCCTGGTATATAGGAATTGCCTTGTCTGTCTGTTTATGTTATGAGGAGGGATTGCCATGTCATGGCCATAACTTTGAAAAAAGCATTTATATGGCTTCTGCTTATATCTTACACAGAGATGGACATGACCATGGGTTTGTCATGACCTTGACCTGGTATTACTTGAACACAGTCTCCAGAGAAAATATTTTGTGTTATGACTTTTATCAGGTATTATTTAGACAAGAAATGTTGGAATTCTGGTGTGAGCCATAGCTGTATCAGAGAGAAGAATCTAACTAGACACAGAGTTTACTTAAAACCTAATGCTGTGTCAATCAGATCATTTTCATTTGATAAGGGTCGGGGTGGGATGTGATAAACTGTGTGTGGGCCATTTTTGTGTTACAGAAATTTAAGAATCTTATGGACACCATAGTTGCTTGTGATTTGAGGGTTAGTCCTGCACCTGACACGAGTCAACTAGACGTGCAGAACGTCAGTTTGGGGAATTGTATGGGGGTCATCAACTTTTTTCAAATTGTATTTTATTTTACCTTAATATTCTGAATTCTATTGTCTCTATATTTTTTTAGAGATTTTTTTTTGAAAGGGGAAAAATCATGAAATTCAATTGATTTCTTTGACTACTTTAGTTAATTTTCTACTTAGTTAATCAAAGTAGTCAAAGAAATCAATTGAATTTCATGATTTTTTTCCCCTTTCAAAAGAAAAAATCTTCAAAAAAAATATAGAGACAATAGAATTCAGAATACGGTAGATGTAGGGGTCGAAATGTGACAGAGTATCGCATTTGTCTTAAGGATTTGTGCTATTTCGACATGTTTTGGACGATTTATACACTTTCATATATCAATTTCTATACCGCTAAAATTAGATATGAGAGACAATACAAGTGCAACATATCGCAGGTGT